CAGTACATAATCAGTACTCTATATTTGACTAAGCTTGCATCCAACTCAGTCTGTGTACTCTTAGTTGCCACAAAAGGCATTCCTGGAAAACTGGCCATAATCCTCCAAGTAAATAAGTATGTTTGGTTTCCCCCAAGTTTCCCAATCTCACTACTATTGTTTATTGTTGTCATTTTTGTTGCAAACATCCTGATTTGAAACGTCACAGTTCATTCAGCAAAGTGAATTTATAGCTACTAATCAGTACTCTTTTTGACTCACAGAGACAAAGCTGCCTTTTCCCCCTAATATGTTAATCTAGGAATATTTACAGCTTATTTGCTGAGAAATTGAATAGGGAAGTGGCCACTGCATAGTAAGGTGCCCAAGTTTGTGTACACCCTGGATGCAACATCTAGAACACCATAAAACTACAAACGTCTACCTCACCTTCAACCTGAGCCCAGACTGGCCCATGGAACAAGTTTATTTTCAAGGCACCACTCCATAATAGACAAACAAACAGAAACCTATACCAGAAAACAAAATAATGTTGCACATCCTTATATGCTACCAGCTTCTACCTAGAACACACCATGAAATCCATTATCTATAGTCAGGCCCTATGATATAACCACATCAGGCTGAGAAATGTATTTAATATATTCCAATACATGCGCAATGAAGTGAAAAATATTTCACATCAAACAAGTCAGACCACTGCCTAAGAACAATGTGCTATGGGACAAACCTGATAAAAATAGCAAAATATGGCTTCCTCCTACCTGGGGTTTCCAGATGAAACCATTCAAACACGTTACTTATCTACAACACTCTGTACAATCACATTTCTGTCTCACAAGCTTTGGATGATAAATCTGTACTTGCTGATAACCAGCCAATGTAAAAAGATTACTACTTATCAGCAACAGGAATATAGGCTTCAATCTGCTAGTTACACATAATTTTGCTTGATTTCACACTTGCACAAATGTTTGCAAAAGCAGTTGAGTGAGCTGTTGTACAACCATTCACACAAACTGTTGTGCATCTGGATGTACAGAACTGTATGGGACACTACCTTTGCATTGTGCAAATCACTACTTCAGTGGGGTCTGGCAGTAAGGGAATGACATCACTGAATTCTAGCCACAGACAAAAAAAAAACTGGATCTGAGAAAGATCCAGATGCCAACTTTGTCACATGTTTGCATTGGAAACACTGTTTTGTTATGTGCCATCAAGTTGCTTCCAACATATGGCAACTCTAATAGTATTTTCAAGGTATGAGAGGTGTTCAAGTAGCAATTTACCATTGCCACTTCCCATTAAGTTTCCATGACACATTTGAACAATGGTTTCCTGAGCCCTAGCCTAACCCTTCATCTACTACAGCGCACTGGCTCTCTCCCAGTAAACACTTGTTATGGGACCTAATAATGTCAGCTGTGATATAAGGACTCCATAAACCTGTTCCTCTTTCAATAGCAAAAGAATAGCAACAAAAAGTATTGTGGCATCTTTAACAAATTTATTTCTTAAAGATTATTCTTAAACATGCCATAATGTTTTGTTGTTATTGTTGTTGTTGCTCAAATAGAATAACATAGCTACCTCTCTGGAATCATTTTTCTGTGTGATTCACTGCCAGCAATACCCTATGCAATAAAAATAAAACACTGACAATTTTTAAAAATTATGTGAATTCTCTTTATACATAGAGTCCATCTGGTTCTCTTTACAGGCAATCAAAATGTTTTGAGAATTTTAAAGCTTTTCTTATTCAATTACTAATATAATTTATGAAATTCAATTTCATGTTTTATCTAAAATATGCCATGATCCAGTATTAAACCTGAAATAATTTACTATAAATAATAAATCCCAACCTAACTAGGCCTTTTTGAATTAGTGGAACTTATGGAGGAATTGATTCATCGAATCCCTACTGATTCAATAGGCTACTCTAGTGTGACTTACTATACTAAACAACAGCAGCCACCGTCTTAAATCACATGACTTGTTAAGCTAAGTTATGATGGCTAGGATCCAAAGGGATCCTTTGACATACAAAGGCATCTGATTCTGTGCGGTGTGTCTTCTCTGGCTCAACCCAACAAAGAGTTCTGCAAGGTCCACTGATATCAATGAGCATAAGTATACCTAGCTCTGTGTCAAATTTAAGTAGAGTAAGTAAAAAATAGAGAAACTGGCCAGTTTTTGTTTCTCCAAGATAGGACTTTAAATAACAAAACAAAAAACTTCAAGCTATTTCTACCCTCAATACACATTTGTTAATCTTGGTAAATTCCTTCAAAAATAAACTGTAATAAAGTTCTCTCCCATTTTCACCACTCAAATTTGTTAGGTATAGCTATTCCCAACAGAGGAGATGATGTTGTATCTACCAGCTTGTTATAGAGATATTAAAAACAAGGAGCATCACAGAAAAGAGAGATGGCAAGGCATCTTTAATTTAACAGTACTGTGATGTGATTGGCTATTTCAGAATTCAAACTCATATTTGTTGATTCAGTGGACCTACACTAGTTGTGATTTACTAGTCTAAGCCACAGAATCTCAGCCACTGTCTTTTTCTGCTTGTGCTGTAAAACACCATGTCTAATTGGCAATGCTGTATAAACAGGGGGAAATAACAATGACAGGAATAGACATTTAATCCCAAGCCAAAGCCCAACTTTGGATGTCGCTATATATGCTGTGTCAAAGAGATCAATTCTATGATAGACATTTAATCCCAAGCCAAAGCCCAATTTTGGATGTCACTATATAGTCAAATGCTGTGTCAAAGAGATCAATTCTATGTTTTTTTTTAACTGATCACATGATGCAAAGACCAATTCCAATTAGTCCAGCCTTTTTTACTCCCCACATGGAGTTTTTTCTCTGGTATTGGAGGCTTCTACTTTTTTTCAAGCTTGAATTGGCTGAATGGACTTTTCCTCATGTGATCAGTTGTTTTGTTCTCCAAAGGGGGATGGGTAAGGTTCATTCTAAACTGGGCATGCATGATTCCACCTCCCTCCACTCAGCTCTCTTCCTCCTCCATGCAGCGATCATGTTCAACTCCTTTGGTTCCAGTCACAACGGAACCCTGCGCACAGCGGGTGCAGAGTCATGCGCGCACGCAGGGGGCGAAGTCATGTGAGAGAGGCAGAGCCCCACCCAGTAGGGCTGAAAATTAGAGGTTACATGGGGGGGGCATGACTGTGGGTGGTATTCTGGTGGGGATGATGTTTTGGATAGTGGGAATATCCAGCCCTGCCATATTTCTTCCTGGTTGCCCTAAAGTATTTTTATTTTCATTTTTTAACAAACTACTGAGTTTAGAACTAGATCACCTCATTCCTACATTGATATACTAGATTCAGCACAAGACCACCTCTGCACAGATGGAAAGAAGAAGATAAAAATCAATATAAAAGAGAGAAAATCTCCAACGAAATGCAGCAACTATGTTGGGGAGGTATGTGTTTGTATGTTATGTAGAACTACCAGTAGGCAACATTTAGTCCACCGGCTTAACAAGGTATGATAAAAGGAGAACTAGAGATTGGCAGAGGGGGAGATTGAAAGGAAACAGGCCTGTGGCACAAATCAAGCCACGCCAGATTGAGAGACCAGTATGAACACTGGCAACAAAACTATCCCAAGTCTCCGTGTGATCATCTAATCCGAACAGTGTAAAACAGACTGCAAATCAAGCCGCAGCAAAGCTGAATCACCAGTGTAGTCAAAACCTTTATCAGTTAGTGTGGTGATTCCCAACCTTGGGTACCCAGATGTTTTTGTACAAAAACTCCCAGATGCTTTCACTGTTAGTTGTGCTGGCCAGGATTTCTGTGAGTTGTTGTCCAAGAACAATTGGGGTCCCATGGCTGGGAAGTGCTGAGTTAGTGCACTGAGCAATACTGTAGTAAATTTCTCTCTTTTTCTCTCTTTCATTGCTAATCTCTATATGGAAGTTACAAGAAACTAGTAGATTATTTTTCTTCCTTTCCTACCCTTGGCACCAAGGATCACAGAGTGTCTTTAAGTTGAAGAGTTTGAAACTGGTAGGAATTTTGCCAGTCTGTAGATGTATTTTTGCATTTGTTTATCTAACATTTGGAGTGGAAGTCAAATACCAGGGTATGTGGCATATAACAACATATAATTGCCCTGTATCTTTTGCACGGTTATTTGGTTTTCTTTGTGTGTGTTCACAACAAGCTGTATGTGGCAGCACAGAATCTGGGATTTGTGGTCTAAAACAGCACTCAACTGGCACAATTTTTTTTTACATAAGTTTAAAATGGATACAAGATGGGGTTGATTATGAATGTTCTTACAAATACAGTTTGTACTCAAGAGGCAAGCCCCTTTTTAGTGAGGCTTACTCCCAAGTTAGTGCACCTACAATTCTTTGTAGCTTAAATTACTTTCAGGATCTCTCCTTACTCTTGAGAGTTCACAATTATTACATATGTTGTTGTTATTTTGGCTCCCGATCATTTTTAAGTTATCATTTCTAGACCTACTCAGCTATTGGGTTCCATTCTGCCCCATCATTTCATGAGGGATCAGGCTAACACTAGCCCTGGGGAGACTGGAATCCTTCCCTCAATTCATGGGTTCATGCTAGGTCCCGAACATGCCCAACACCATAGAAGTACCTAGGAATTAGGGCATACTGCCATAACTGACTTATGGCATGATGGGCTGAGAGACCCCTGAATATACCACTTTTTGTATGTGGGATTCCCACTTGCAAGTGCCTTTGCTTCAGGGAATGGGAGAACCCACTCTTGTTCAGCCCTCAATGCCACAGTTCATCATATTCAACAAGGTCTGATTCCAACTATTCTTTTTAGAAAGCCTGAGGGCACTGCTCGAAAGGAGAAGGATTGTGGGAAAGTTGTGTTGCGTCTGCCTCTCTTCTGCCTGTTTTCCCCCTGAAACTTCTCTGTCATGTTTTGTGCTTAGATCAAGAAAGGGAATAAAGTCAACATTTTACTTACATCTAAAGAATCTTCATTCAGAAGGATGAGAGACATACTCTGTGACACGAGCCTGCAGGAATATCCTGAGGAAATAATCAACACACACAGGGTGTTGTCAGTGATAGCTGCAGCAATGAAGAAGCTATTGAAAGCCATTAGCACATTCCTCTTCACAGTCATTACAAAGAAGTTCAACAGCAACATAGCCATAAGAAGAAAAGGAGAGCCATGCTGGATCAGACTGACGACGTATCTAATCAAGCTTTCTGGTCCCACAGTGGCCAATGAGTAGCACAAAGTGTGAAGTACAAAGAGAGAACAGTTAAGACAAATATGACTGGTGAACTGGAGAAATAAAAAACAGAATGTGTCTGATAAAGTGGACTATACTTCAAAATACTCACACTGAAATAATTTTTTTAGCCTTTAAGGTGCTGCAACTCTTCTCTTTTTATTTTTGTTACACATGCTGAAATAGACGAATTCAACCTCCTCACTAAAAACAAGAGCAGATTATGGATGCAATCCATGTGGGACAGTATACACAAAAATAGGGTTCTGGCTTGTGTGGAGAGCTGACATGGATAGAACAGCTTCCTTCCCCTCTTCAGACATCCATTCCTGCATGATGAAAGTGATGGAGGTAGGGAAGAGTTAGCATGTTCCTCTCACTTTGCATGAGAGTACATGCAATTTAATGATGACTAAATAGGGCTACAGACAAAGAGAAAGGTATGCAACAACCATGTTTGGAATGGCAGCTCCTCTCTTCTCCCTTCATACTCCTTTGATATGAAGGAGAAAAAACCCATATTTTCTTTTTTTTTTAATCCCAACCACACAAATGACTTCCAAACAAGCCAGAAAATGAAGTCATAGTTTAAAGTTGGCTTCCCAATCTTGGTTTGTATCAAAACCATTAAATATAGCTCCCAGTTCATATGTAACAGGAACCTATAGTTTGGAAACCATACAGTTTCAAGGCTTGTTTTACCACTTGTAAAGGGAAGTCATGTCATGGTGTGTATGTGTACATAAGCCATACAAAAATTGATTTCTTAAGCCATGATTTGCTGGTTGAAACACAGTGTGAGTTTAGTTCTGGCTGGAGTGATCAATAGTTAGGAACATAATAGTGCAAAACTAGTAAGTTATTTTATGACACGTAGAACATTCCTTCTTTGGACTAGACTCTCCAGAATCCCCTAGCTGGCATGGCCACTGTGTATTCTAGGAAATGCCATTTTAAAGTTTTCAGAGCCCTAGTGCAGATCCCACTGGAATTGGATCACAAGGAAAACTGAGCAATATTTCATTAAAACGTCATTAACTGCACTGCCCTGACCTACTAAGAGTGAAGTGGTGATGGAATCCCCTGTCCTGTATTTATTATCTATTTATTTATTGAATTTGTAACCCGCACCATCTGGCAACGAGGCCACTCTGGACTGTCTACTTTTTTCTTCTCTTTATGCTTTACTCCAGAGGTTCCCAGTCTTGGGTAACCTAGGTGTTCTTGGACTGCAATTCCCAGAAGTCTTCACCATCAGCTGTGCTGGCCAGACTTTCTGGTGGTTGCAATACAAGAACACCTGGGTTACGCAAGGTTGGGAATACTGTAGGACAACATACATCTTTACTACTCTCTCATCTTAAAAAATAAAAAGGAGAAGGCTGTAGCCTTACTCAGCTCGCAGAGAAATGGGACATTTGCTGGTCCAGAATGTGGCAGCTCTCTTGCATAGCTCATTCTGAGTGCAAATTGCTAGCAACAAAGGGCAGCAAGTTGTTATTATTGTAGTTAAGGAGACACTGCACAATTTCCTGCTTGTACAATTTTCTATCTCAGGTACCAAAGTACACTGACTGGCTTGCAATTTGAGTTTGCCAGGCAGTGATGTGGCAATGTGTTGCTCTATCTAAGGTGGGAAAGCGTCATGGTACTACTGTAGAAATGCAGGACAATATTATATACAAAACAGTTTTCTACAAAAACTATTTGCACTGCTTTATTACATACTCATCAAATGGAACCTGCCATAAAACTAGTAATTTACGTTAAAGTATTGGGTAATTTTTATAAATCTTTAAAGTAAAAACTTTGGGAATGTGGAAGAGCTAACAAAAATCATTTCAACTTATAGTGAATAAAAACAAAAACCTGGAGTAAGATTCTTTAAACTCCTAGTAAACACAAAGGACAAATGTGCTGAACTATTTTTAAATGCATGGAATTTAAAACACAAGGTCCATAACACAGTTACATTGTAATTTAAAATTTCCCCTGAAAAATAAAGTTTGTGCGTGGGAGGAGATGTATTACACAGATTCAAGCATTACTCGGAATGTCAGGCACGGCCTTCCCCCAGGTCTGTTTGCAGCCCTAAACTGTTGCAAATTTGGTATAACTAATTCAAAGGGATTTTGTGGGAGTTTTTGATTGGAACAACAGCTGCACTACTGAACAGTATTTTCTAAGCCACTACCTGCTGTTTTATTTTGCATCTTTTAAAATGAGAAAGACACCATCTGCCTAGTGGATTTAGAGAACAGAGTTTTGAACAACCACCACATTTCTTCTAGATTCCTTAGTGGTTAGCAAATTGGGGAAAACTAGATTCCTTAGTGGTTAGCAAATTGGGGGGGGGAAATCAGATATTACAAATTAAGCAAGAACATTCAAATGTAGGGATGTTTCAAGATTATGTAACACATGGACTTGCAGTCTTATTGAGAACTGATTGAAAGAGACTGTTCGCTTTCAACATGTTTGAAGAGAACAGTCACATACTGTCAGGTTAAACAGTGATGTTACAGAAGGAGGCAGTGGGATTTCATCTTCCCTTTTAAAGTCTGGACCTTCCCTGTAAGCAACTTTTCTTTAGAGAAAAAATCTTGACATCAAACTCCACGTAAATATTTGCCTATCATCTTCAGTATCATTTTTTTTCCTACTTGGTGGCAACAAAACTTACGCCGATTATGGCCTCTGGACTACCAAAATGCATGAGCTGCTTGTAATGAAAACAGAACGTCAGCAGACTCGTGGTCACAGGGGTGCGTGGTACAGTTTTCTCTGTACAACATTTCAACATGCACACAAGGGATTTCATGTTTGAAAGTACCTCTGTAGTTGAAATGCTCTGCATGTAAAAAGTCAGCACTTTAGGACTGGACTTGGTATCTTTTCATGAAACACAACATGAAACATTTCACTATGTGATTACATACAGTGGTGCCTCACTTAATGAGCACACAGTTTAACGATGAATTCGCATAGCGATGTGTTTTTTGCGATAGCTAATGCGATCGCATTGTGATGTTTTAATAGCGTTTCGCTTACCTATCTTTGCATTGCGATGTTTTTTAAACGGGATCGGCGGTTCCAAAATGGCCACCCGCAGCGTTTTCGCGCCCTGCCCTTGCTTACCAGGCAGCGAAAATGGCAGCCAGATCGAGGATTCCCCACATAGCGGTGAGTTTTTGCCCCAACAGGAATGCATTAAACCCATTTTAATGCGTTCCTATGGGGTTCCCCCCGCATAGCGACGAATCCACATAGCGACGTTAATCCTGGAACGGATTAATGTCGCTATGCGGGGCACCACTGTACTTATGAGGGCTGAGCAGCACCTATCTTTGCCTGTGCAGGATCAACTGTCCTGTACAAAGATGGTGTGAGGGAGAATGTTAGCATTTGAGGGGTACAGATGAATTTGGTATAAGCTCTTTGTGGGGAGTCCTGATTTTTGACCAGATGTCTTAGGGGTTTTTTCCTTTCTTCACTCTAAAACAAAGTAAGATACTACTCATGCAACACTTTGTAAATTTGGCTAGGTTATCACATATCATACCACACTCTCATCCTCCAAGGTCTTTCTTCTTTTTAAAAAATATGCCTGTCTCTGATTTGGTATGGCACTATCTGTTTGTAACCACTGAAATTAATTCTAAGGATGGCAGGAGGAGAGAACATACTGCCACTGAAATGCCAAGCATAGGATACTACTCATGCAACACTTTGTAAATTTGGCTAGGTTATCACATATCATACCACACTCTCATCCTCCAAGGTCTTTCTTCTTTTTAAAAAATATGCCTGTCTCTGATTTGGTATGGCACTATCTGTTTGTAACCACTGAAATTAATTCTAAGGATGGCAGGAGGAGAGAACATACTGCCACTGAAATGCCAAGCATGGAGATAGACATCTATCTATCTTTCTTTCTTTCTTTCTTTCTTTCTTTCTTTCTTTCTTTCTTTCTTTCTTTCTTTCTTTTGTACACCACCCCATTAGTGAAATGTACTATTCTAGGAAGTGTATAGCCAGCTAAAAACAAAAGAATGATAAGTCAAATAAAAATAACATAAGAAACAAGAATGTCCCAGGGAACAATACACTGCAACATTTTCCACCTTGTGTTGGCCACAGCTTCCACATCTATTGCACTACATCTCTCATCATTGATTGCCACAATGTTTGGGCTGTGCATAATGGGAGTTATAGTCCAACACATTTGTCTGTTACCAGGTCAGAGAGGGTTAACGTATATAAATCATCCTCTAAATCATTTGCCTTCATTCCACTCAGATGAATACTTAAATACTCTCCTTTATCTGTCCTGTCTCTGAAAATACATTTACATTTTTCTCAACTGTGGTAAAGAAAGAAAAGTCCACTTGATTTATTGAGGCTTCATTTGAAATATTACTTCTAAGTAGAAGTCACTTTTAAATATAAATAAAAGAAAATTACTGGGTGCTCATGAATCTCCTGAGCTTAATGTAAGTGAAGTCAGTGAATACTACAGCTTTGGTGTTAAAAGCCTGTATTAAATTAAATTAACTAACAGCCTAGCCAGTCAAGGTCTTAATATTGTACTGTCTTGAAGGTCACAAAAGGTCAATGGCCTTGGTATAAAAACACATTTGAAAGGAGTAATGGAAATTAAAACATAAAAGAAGCATTCCACTGTTAGTAAAACAGCTAAGTGAGATATTGTTCTTTAAAAATGTGTATAGATGAAAAGAATAAGGGAAGATGTTGTAAGTGGACTGAAGTTTCATAAAGGTTGAAGTAGTATTTGGTAGTACATTTTTGATAGTAAGGTACTGCCAGAACTCTGGATGATGACTGCTCCTTGCCCCTTCAGATGTTTCTGTATTCTTAATAGCCCATAAATATCTTATGCCTTGTTATAAGACAGGGATGGACAGCTCTGGTGGATTTAGGGACTAAATTCGAGGTTTGGTAAGAGCCATTTTTGTCTTTTGGCAAATTATTAGAAAGTATTGGGGGCTCCAGACTGAAATGGAGTTGCAAAAACATACCTTTGGAGGGGGCTACATGCAGATTGGAAAAATGTGCTCATCCCAAATGCCTTGTTTTGTTTTGTTTTTGTTTTTTGTCAGCATCCCTGCTATCGTGTTGCAATGAGGATGCAGCCACCAGCTGGCTGGGAGAAGCAACCCTTCTTCATTCCCTTTATATTGGGTTTGCATTCTGCTCTTCCCATTTTAAAACCGTTGCACTATGTTCCACATCTTTCTTTATTTCATAAGAACCGGGTTTTGTAATCATTTATTAATTATTTCTTTATTGCATCTATAGCCTGACATTCTTCTAATTAACTCATGGCAGCCTATAGGCCCCTCCTCCTCTTCTACTTTATTCTCACAACAATGAACTGATGCAAGTCAGACTGAGATAATGTACAGTGGGGTCTTGACTTGAGAACTTAATCCGTATTGGAAGGCGGTTCTCAAGTCAAAAAGTTCTCAGGTCAAATCTGCATTTCCCATAGGAATGCATTGAGAACCATTTGATCCGTATCTGCTCTTTTCTGTCCATAGAAACTAATGGGAAGCTGCTATTCTGCCTTCGACCACTAGAGGGGGATATTTTGTTTCTTTTTTCCTTAGGTCAAGAAAGGTTTAGGGAAGGCAGGGAAAATACAGTCCAGGCAGTACAGTACCAGGCAGTCTGATGACTGTCTCCCAATCCACTCTCTAAACGCTGGGAGGAGTGAGGAAGCAGACAGGCGCCCTTTTCACTGGCCAACAGTTAACTGAAAGTTCAAGTTTTGCACTTTCCCTGCCTCCCACGTGGTTTTTTTTCAGTTCTTAACTCAAATCTAAGTATGTAAGTCAAGTCAATATTTTCCTATGCGAATGGTTCGTAAGTCAAAATGTTCTTAACTCGAGCCATTTTTAAGTCAAGACCCCACTGTAACTGGCTCAAGGTTGCTCAGTGAGCTTCATGGAAAAGCAGGCCCAGGTCTCCTAAGTTCTAGTCCTCTTACTAGTCTAACTATCACGCCACAGTGATCTGTAGCAAATTGGGATCTATCAATCAGTGAACAAATTAAATTTAAACGCTCAAAGCAGTGACCATTTAATCTCCTAAATCCTCTGATCTAACTCTACTGAAATTACAACAGAGATTGGAAACTTTTTTTACATTATATTTCCTAGAATTACAATAGCCATGCTAGTCCAAAGAAAGAACTTGCACAGGGCTGGTATACATAGGCCCCTCATTGGAGAAGGTGAAGGGCAGTTACCTATGTTGAGGGCTGTTTCTTGTTTATCCCCTGTTAGGACCCAAATCTTGATTTCTGCTTTCATTAAAGTGGATATCGTTTCTGGGACACCAGCCTGAAGGCGGTCCTCGATGGCTGTAGCACCAAGAAGCAGTAAGTTCTGAAAGAAGCAGGGAAGAAAGAAGTGAATTGAGAAGATTTGTCTTCTTTAGACTGACATTGGCTTGAGCCATGTACAAAAATTAAATGCACCATATTTTGATCTTTTCTACAACTTTTCTAAGAGAAGATGTTCAGTGCAGTTAAATTCTATTGTGAAAGTCGGACATTTCAGAAAGCATAAGGGAACAAAATCCTTTTGATCAGAAGGCAAGTAATTATTCAAAAGCAATTAATTGTAGCTGCAACTTTGAAAGACAGGCCATATGTGGAAGTACATGCACAAGTTACCATAGTTACATGCTTAATAGCCATAATTAGTTTATTTCTGAAGTTCAGAAAACAGAGATCACGTGGTATTATGTGTCACGAAACACTTCTGCTTTCAGAATATACAAACCAGGCACAATCATTCAAACAGTTGAAGAAACAAATAGATCTGATCACATTATGCATTTAGCACTCAAATAGGATGACCAGTCACCAATCTAATCTGTGTATACTGCATGATATTTATTATTCTTCATAAGTGAAAATAAGTAAAAATAAATAATGATTCTAAGAAGACCTATTTGGAAATGATACCTGGTGAACTCAGTGAAATTTGTTCTGGAGTAAAAAGTCTTAATATCAAGCTGTATGTACCATGCACAATTGCAAATGCAGTAGCCCTGACGCTGCTCTAAGTTTTTTCAGAATTTAGTGACTCATATCAAAACACTATGAGCAGTTAAACAAAAACAGTAAGAAACAAAATCATATGCACATTCCAGACAAAGTGAAACACTTTACGATTCTGTTGGATTTAGTGAGAGAAATTTAATCTATCTTTGAAAAAAAGAGATTAATGGAACATAGCAGTGAGTGAGCAAAGATGCTGATGGAAGATGATAGCTGCTTTAAGTGACTCTGTTCTTGGGACACTGCACTATTTTGAGCTTGGTAAACTGGATGGACAAAGTGCAGCCCCCCCAAGGCACTTCTTCATCCCCTCCAACCTCTCTTCCCTGTGCCCTGCAAATTCATTCCCAAAAGACAAAGCAGGCTCTCCCAAAGACATTTTGCTATTTTGAGTGAAGGACAAAATGGTACCCCTTCCTCCATTGCATTGCATTGCATTGCATTGCATTGCATTGCATTGCATTGCATTGCATTGCATTTATTTATTTATTTATAGGCACTCCCATTTCTTTAAGAACTTGCCATAGTTTGCTGTGGTCCACACAGTCAAAGGCTTTTGCATAGTCAATGAAGCAGAAGTAGATATTTTTCTGGAACTCTCTGGCTTTCTCCATAATCCAGCGCAAGTTAGCAATTTGGTCTCGAGTTCCTCTGCCTCTTCGGAATCCAGCTTGTACTTCTGGGAGTTCTCGGTCCACATACTGCTGAAGCCTACCTTGTAGGATTTTGAGCATAACCTTGCTAGCGTGTGAAATGAGTGCAATTGTACGGTAGTTGGAGCATTCTTTGGCACTGCCTTTCTTTGGGATTGGGATGTAGACTGATCTTTTCCAATCCTCTGGCCACTGTTGAGTTTTCCAAACTTGCTGGCATATTGAATGTAGCACCTTAACAGCATCATCTTTCAAGATTTTAAATAGTTCAATTGGAATGCCATCACCTCCACTGGCCTTGTTGTTAGCCAGGCTTTCTAAGGCCCACTTGACTTCGCTCTCCAGGATGTCTGGCTCAAGGTCAGCAACTACATTGTCTGGGTTGTCCGGGATATCCACATCTTTCTGATATAATTCCTCTGTGTATTCTTGCCACCTCTTCTTGACGTCTTCTGCTTCTGTTAGGTCCTTCCCATTTTTGTCTTTTATCATGTTCATCTTTGCGCAAAATGTTCCTCTAATATCTCCAATTTTCCTGAAGAGCTCTCTGGTCTTTCCTTTTCTGTTATCTTCCTCTATTTCTTTGCATTGTTCATTTAAGAAGGCCCTCTTGTCTCTCCTTGCTATTCTTTGGAAGTCTGCATTCAATTTTCTGTAACTTTCCCTATCTCCCTTGCATTTTGTTTCCCTTCTCCTCTCTGCTATTTCTAAGGCCTCGTTGGACAGCCACTTTGCTTTCTTGCATTTCCTTTTCTTTGGGATGGTTTTCGTTGCTGCCTCCTGGACAATGTTACGAGCCTCTATCCAAAGTTCTTCAGGCACTCTGTCCACCAAATCTAGTTCCTTAAATCTGTTCTTTACTTCCACTGTGTATTCATAAGGGATTTGGTTTAGATTATACCTGAGTGGCCCAGTGGTTTTTCCTAATCTCTTCAGTCTAAGCTTGAATTTTGCTATGAGAAGCTGATGATCAGAACCGCAGTCAGCTCCAGGTCTTGTTTTTGCTGACTGTATAGAGCTTCTCCATCTTTGGCTGCAGAGAATATAATCAATCTGATTTCGATATTGCCCATCTGGTGATTTCCATGTGTAGAGTCGCCTCTTGTGTTGTTGGAAAAGAGTGTTTGTGATGACCAGCTTATTCTCTTGACAAAACTCTATTAGCCTTTGTCCTGCTTCGTTCTGAACTCCAAGGCCAAACTTCCCTGTTTTTCCTTTTATCTCTTGGCTCCCTACTTTAGCATTCCAGTCCCCTAGAATGAGAAGAACATCTTTCTTTGGTGTCAGTTCTAGAAGGTGTTGTAAATCTTCATAGAATTGTTCAATTTCAGTCTCCTCAGCAATGCTGGTTGGTGCATAAACTTGGATTATTGTGATGTTGAATGGTCTGCCTTGGATTCGTATTGACATCATTCTGTCATTTTTGAGATTGTATCCCATTACAGCTTTTCCCACTCTTTTGTTGACTATGAGGGCTACTCCATTCCTTCTACGGGATTCTTGCCCACAATAGTAGATATGATAATCATCTGAGCTGAATTCGCCCATTCCTGTCCATTTTAGTTCACTGATGCCCAGGATGTCGATGTTTATTCTTGCCATCTCCTGTTTGACCACCTCCAGCTTCCCAATGTTCATAGATCTTACATTCCAGGTTCCTACCAGCTAGTTGTTCAAAAGGCAAGGGACCACTGTCGAGAAGGCCCAGTTCCTCGTTTTTTTCCTTCCGGACCTCCCTTGGTGTTAGGCCCCTCAGCCACCCAGCCTGGCTGGAATGATTGACTCTGGCAGAACTGGGTGGGAGAAGGCTCTCTGCCAGATATCGAGGTCCTAAACCGTTTAAGGCTTTATAGGTAATTGTAAGAGCTTTGAAATTGGAAATGAATAGGCAGCCAATGCAAGGCGGCCAGATTTGGGGAAATATGGTGGTATCTTTCTATCTGCAGAAGCTGATCAGACTGCCAAATCAATGCTCTCAATAGAACAGCATCCATCCCTCCCGAAGACAACAAGCCAGTTTAGGAAAATAGGAAAGCTTGCCTGAAGAAGATCTTTGCCTGCTTATGAAAGGACAGCAAAGATAGGGCAAGTCTGGGTTCCAGTGGGAGGCAGTTCCAAAGGCTGTGGACATATATGAAACACAGCTGCCTGTTTAATAGTGCAGGGATGGTGTTAAAATACTGGTATGTGTTTCAAACACTTATGTCTTTTTTAAATTGGCTCCTTATGCTATCTTTTTCATGACAAGGACAAGCAAAAATGTCCAAAAAGAGGCAAAGAAAGAGAGAGAGAGAGAGAGAGAGAGAGAGAGAGACACTCCCCTTCTGTCTTCCTATAAAAAGGAATGACCATGGGCTATGGGGGAACAACCACTGGACTGTCACTGTATCCATCCTCAAAACATTCAGGTGAGGTGGTTCATAATGACAAGGCCAGCTCTAGCTCACATTTGGAAATCCACTCATTTAGCCCTCCCTCTCTTCCTATGGCCTTCTCATTCTGCCTATGGGCTTGCCAATCAACTGATCGGTGGGCTGATAGGCAGCTAGCCAGCCCCACAGCCACTCATCCCCACAGCCTATCTCCCAACCCCTTCCTCTCCCTACCTTACTAGCTGCTGTCATCCGGCGCCACCGCCATCCATTGCTGCCTTAAGGGAATCCACGCTGCCCTTTGCAAAGATGGAGGCTACAGCTTCCCTGACATAAATTATGTTGCAGTCGCCATCTTTGCAAAGGGTAGGCAGTGTCCCTTACTGCAAGCCATAGCGGCGGAAAACAGCTGGAGACCACTACTTTGGTGGGGGCGGGAGCGACAGCAGGGCAGGACAGCAGCAGCAACAGCAGGGGCAGTGGCAGCAACAGCAGTGGGGCATGGCACAGTGGCGTGAGGTCAGGGTTTTTTTTAGACAGTCTCTGGTTGTCTGACCCCCCCCCCAATCAACAAATAAATTCATGCTTCATCAACTCATGAGGGGAGCTTCATGCTTCGTCAACTTTGATCACGAAGCAGGACAAATCACCAAAATGGCAATTAGTCCTCATCTCTAGTTTTAATGTATCAGCGCTATACTGATAGCTACTATGATAAATGCTCAGCATGTTCCCCCTTAAGAAAGATTTGCAGATTTAGGAAGGCACAGCACCATAGCTCAGCAGCACAGCACATCCTGTATTTACTACACAAGCAGGCACACTGAATCACTTGAACTGACTCATGAATCTTGCTGATTCTTGCATCTTGTTGCAACTTACAACTGGATTTAACCATTGTTTATCAAATGCAACTTACAACTGGATTTAACCATTGTTTATCAAAAACTGTAACAATAAATTTAAGCTCATTGCATTTGATAGACTAAATAAATAGCTTGAATTTTGTAAAAACAGGAGAGATTTATAGAACAATTCATTTTCATAAACTATGTGCATGCACACACACATGAATAAACATACATATATTTTAGATTATCTGTGAAGCTACGTAAGAACAGGAATTAAGCATGGGTTGCAAATGCAACATGCAAGCAAAAGAATAACTGCAGAGATTTCGAATGTATTTTGCAAAGTAGTTATGTAACAACTGAAAACAGAGTACTATACATCTGAAAATCTGTACCAGGAAAGCCGTTTTGTTTAGTTCTTGTGTTAAGATCCAAATTAAAGTAAACATTAAATCATGGGAACACAAAATTAGAAAAATTTGAGTTAACTGTCATGATACACTTTAATTTTTTCAACACAGTGAGAAAAGATTCCATAGTTTTATTTGACTATCCTATGTACACAGAAGCTAGAGAGCATTTACAGATTTTTCTGCTTGCTTTCCTGCTGTCCAACTCAAGGGAGTAAATATTTACTTGGGGGAAAAAAAAAAAGTCTGAAAAGGTTTGCCATAAGTCAGAATTGACATGTCAGCACATCATCATCATTTCATATTTTGATCACATAATAACACTATTGCTGAACTTTTTATTTTTATTTTACTTGCCATCTAGAAAATCCAACAAATCCAAGTGATCTCACAGTTAGGAGCATTAGAAGCTACCTTATACTGAAGAACATCATTGGTTTATCTTAGCTATTTCCAACCTTTCAGTTCCTAGAACATTTGATGATTACCTATGGTGTTTTTGATTTCTGGGAGTTGAAGTATCTGGGGCACCAAAGGCTAAAAGTTCTTAATGGTTGCTCTAGCTCACTATTGTCTATACCAGGAATCCCCAACCTAGTTCTTGAGGATGTTTTGGATATCATGCCTGAGAACTCTTGAAGGCTGATGGAAGTTGAAGGCCAAGGTATCTTGAGAGCACCATGGGAAGTCTGGCCTTGACAATCAGTGATTCTGCAGAGTTTTAGGAAGGGAATTTTCTCAGCTTTACCTCTGTTTGGCTATGTTTGAACCTCGAATTTTCCATATGCAAAATATGGGACTTTCTGATATACTTAGTATTTATTTATTTATTTATTTATTTATTTATTTATTTATTTATTTATTTATTTATTTATTTATTTAATTTTATTTAATTTTATTTGGCTTTTACCCCGCCCATCTAGATTGAAACAAATCTACTCTGGGTGTTTTACTAATCTTCCTATCCAGGTGGATTGTTTCTAAACAAAGAATAAAAACTGTTAATTGCAACAACATTGCTTTGGGATTACCTTTCAGATACAGTAGCCAATACCAAATAAATAAAATAAAAACTGGCATGCCATCTTTAATACATTTTCCATATTTGCACAAAAATCCCGCCTTATGACCAAGATCTATGAATGCAAGCCAAAGAAGGATTTGGCTCTAAGCAACCCCAAAGCATCTCTCATAAGTACAGTACCTTCTCAATGATTTCATAGCACTCCTCCAACTTTTGAGTTCGGTCTTTCAAGTTTGTGCTGGCTTCATTATATACATTCAACCAATCCCGGTAAGAGTTTTCGGAGAGGTCTGCATATGCAATGCACAGAGTCCTTAAACCTAAATACAGAAGCATGGAGTGAGATGGCTTCTATGGAGTTTTCCTTAATCTTGATGAAGTTGCAGCTCCTAAATGCTGGAAACAGATGTTCTCATTGTGTAAAAAATGCACAATCAGTTAGGAAGCTTTGGAAATGCACTTTATTATAAAATTGCAAAGCTTTTTTAATTTTCAGGATAATTTATTGAATAAATAAAGGAAACCCTGTCATCAGTTAAAGAGCTACCAACTATAGCTGGAATTACCAACATTTATACTTCCCAGCCCTCTTGATTTCAGTTAGATGCACAGCATAGGGAGATTGCTTTTGTTTTTAAACAAATCTCAGATACTGTATTTCATCCATCATGGCTGTTAGCCACACTAACTGGGGCACTTTGTGAGTTGCCTACAAAAACTAAGTTTTTAAAACTCTCTTAGACCTCTGTTTTATTGCAGCAGCATTTTCCAGAAAGCAAAGAGTAACTCCCGTGGTGGATGGTGAGTTCACCCATTTCAGTCATCCTAATCTATATAAGCTTTATTAAATAAGTAGGTGGACTTCTGAGAACTCCCACATGATTCCAGAAGGGATAACATAGGAGACTGTGCACCTCTTACTTTCTGGTGTTAATTCCTGGTATTCATGGCCATGGAACAGGGCTGTCCTTTTTCTCCTTCTCTATGGACAGTAGCCGTGTGCATTATAGACACTTATTTCAATATTTGGGACCAATGGCAATGTTGCCAGTAGAAATAAACCATTTCATGTGATGCCACAATTCCTACCAAACTTTGTGACTGCATAAGCTGTCATGCAACATTGCCTGCTTTATCAGACACATGCACTATCACTGTCCTGAGTTACGGAGGGTTGGTATCATGGTATACCTGGGATAAGATCCAGACCTAACTATATTTAGAGGAGACCCAGTGAAATTAATGGGATTTGATTATGGCGAACTTAAACTCCACTGACTTCAGTGGCTCTACTTTATAAGTGTTACTGAATCCTAATCTACACCCAGTGTGGTGTATTGGATAGAGTGACAGGCTAAGACTAAAGACACCTGGATTCACTGGGGGGTTGAGGCATTGGTTAAAACTGCTCCTTAAGTATCTCATTTACTTAAAACACTGTTGTTGTTTAGTCATTAAGTTGTGTCCGATTCTTTGTGACCCCATGGACCAGAGCACGCCAGGCCCTCCTGTCTTCCACTGCCTCCCGGAGTTTGATCAAATTCATCTTGGTAGCTTCGGTGACACTGTCCAACCATCTCATCCCCTTCTCCTCTTGCCCTCACACTCTCCCAACATCAGGGTCTTTGCCAGGGAGTCTTCTCTTCTCATAAGATGGTCAAAGTATTGGAGCCTCAGCTTCAGGATCTGTCCTTCCAGTGACACTGTTAGGGTGACCGTAAGTTAGATGTGTCTTTGTGGCACATAATGCACAAATGTTGATCAACCAAGAAGTTTATTCTTGGAGAGGTTCAAACAGATTTCTCATCATAGCCGAGTTCAATGAGGAATGAAGCTCAAAACTTTTATTCTTTGTTGAATTATACCTCCTAGAATTCCCTAACAAGCAGGGCTGATTCTAGGAGCTATGCTCCAAAATTACTGTAACATTTGAGTCCAAAAAGAGATTTTATAAGGAAGGGAGACACCTTCTTGCCTGATGGGGCTAGTTATTGGCTACATAGAAAAGAGAAATGAGAAAAGGGAAGTGTGTCATATCACACCAAAAAAGGCCAAAAGAGTGAACATCAGGAACCAGGCTTTTTTTGGTTGTGGCTCCACACCTCTGGAATAAACTTCCAGCAGAGGTTTGCCAGACATCTTTCCTCTCAGTTTTTAAGAGGTTAGTTAAAACACAATGGTTTAAAGCTGCTTTTTATTAGTGCTAGTTACCTGTGATGTCCAATGTCTTTTTAAACTGTTTATTTAATCTAAAGATAGACTTAGCTAATTCAATGGCTTTATTGATGGATGGATTGATTGAATTTATTCTTTGATAACATGTATATATTGTACTTATCTTTCTTGTTTGTATGCTTATGCTATGATCTGCCCAGAGAGTGTTTTGCACTATGGCGTGGTATATCATAATAAACAAACAAATAAATAAATAACACCTGGGAGAGACAACACTACAACCATGATCTTAATATTCCTTACAGTAAATCTGGAGCAACAACTTCAACACTTCTGTGCAGCTTTTAAAAATAAACTATTTACTTCACTGTAACACAGTTTAAAATGAAACCACAAGTCATAAGTCTGTGATATAAGATACGTGTATTGCTTCTCATTGCTTTTTGACAGCCATAGTATTCTACTCAGTACTTCAATTTAATGGACACACATGTAATTTACACTGATGTTGACATGGGTTAACTGTGCATAGTAATGCGAAGAACAGCCCTCTTTGGAATATGAGCAACATGGTTTTATGAGGCCACTGCTAGAACTCAACATATATTAAAAGTAATGATTTCTCTTCTGGCACAAATCAACCAGAAAAAAAAAAGGACAGAGTACGCCATATAAAAGAGAAAGGCTGTATTATTGAGAATGTGGGAGTTTCTAGAACAAAGTGTGTGGAACAGGGAGACTTTCCGGCACAGGAAAAAGTAAGATTCTTCCTGCAATTTGGTATCATAAAATATTACTACCTAAAAGGAACATTGTCCACTCCCCAGATTGCTCTACCTTAGTAATGTCCTCATTACCAATGAAATAGGAGACTAGTGTATTTGATTTCATACACCAAACCCATGGGTTAGCTGCAGGGGTTGGATATTAAAGGAACCAACAGAAGTCTAGGCTGAAGATAGAATTACATCTTTTTAATATTTTCTAAACATTAACAATATGGCTGCCATACATTTCACCTCTTCTTGTCCTCTTAGCTTTATTCCCTGTTCCCTATGCTCCAGATATTTTTTTTTTTGCTTTCCCTACTCTGAAAGATTTGTATACCAAACCAATTAAATGAGGTGCAAGAACAGCTTAGCAAATTTACTCCTTTTTTGGATGGCACTACTCAAAATCTCAGAAGATAGGAGGGCCTGGCGTGCTCTGGTCCATGGGGTCACGAAGAGTTGGACACGACTAAACGACTAAACGACAACAACTCAAAATCTACCTTAGCAACGTCCCTTGGCCATGATCGTTTGGGATTCTGGACAGTGTAGTAAAAAAAAGGTAAACTTTTCAAGCTCTAATAAGTGACTTTTCTTGTGGTTGTTTTGGGTTTTTCGGGCTCTTTGGCCTTGTACTGAAGGTTGTCCTTCCCAA